TATTTGGTTTTGCCTGCATTTCCTAGTCTCCCTTGAAATGACATATATCCACATGAGAAAATTGTAGAATAGTTAAGAGGACTTCAGGAGAGACCCCTTAAAGGCTTTGTTGACTTCTGCTCTTTTTACTGCTTGATGCCTGGGAAGGGATAATGATGGATGGAGATCTAGTAGCCATGTAGGGCTGTGAGATTACTTTGAGAATAGAGTTTGGGTAGAAGAGAATAATAGAAAGGAGCCCAGGTTCCTGATGACTTTGTGCTGCCATTGTATCAGCTCTGGGATGCTTACCTCTAGAGTTCTTTTACTGGGGCTGGGGATGTGATTTAGTGATACTAATACTTGCCTAGCATACATGAGGCCCTGGGTGCAATGTCAGCATGACCAAAAAATAGAATATTTTTAGTGCATTTCATTGATATCTTAAGATATAACACTATTTACATATTATTAAGATAAACAAAAACACTACCTATCAACTCATACAGTGCTTTATTATTGCATGAACTACGGGTCATTCTTACTTCAGAAATGTTAAAACGTCATAAAATGTCATAAAAGTGAGAATGAAATTACAAGAGAATTTATTTTTTTAAACCATTGTTATTTTGAGTTTCTTATACATGACACACACACAGCCTAACAGTATTCTAACAATAAACTAGCTTTTAATTTTTCTGTATACATTTTGGACTAGAAACATCTTGAGGTTTCCAAGTCTACCTTCATTTATCAAGGAGACCTTGCTTTAAAAATCAACTTTATTGAAGTAGAATCCACATATAATAACATGTACTAAAATATAGGTTTTGATGAGTATTGACAAATGCATGTACCTATTTGACTTCCACCATTTTCAAGGTGCAAAATATTTTTATTACCTCTCAAACCAATCCCAGCCAATTCTCCCCAGCCACACCTTAAGAACTACTGATCTGTTTTCTATCATTACAGTTTAGATTTGTCTTTCTAGAGTCTTATATACATGGGATCATACAATATTTACATTCTTTTAAGTTTGGTTTCTTTCATTCCGCATCCTGTTTAAGACTGATCTCTGTTGTTTTATATCTCAATAGTTTGTTTCTTTTTGGAATATATGGATATTCCACAATTTACACTTTCACAGATGATGGATCTTGAGAGTTTTCTCTTGTTATGTCTTTTGTGAATAAGGTGCTGTGGCTACTTTATGCACAGAGTCATGTTTTTATTCATTTATAGTCATATGACAGTTCTGTCCTCCTTTGTACCTAGCCCTGATTAAAAGAATCCTAAAATTATTGCTACTTACCCCTACCTCTTTTCTGCTTGTCTATAAATACTGGCTAAAGCTAAATCTATCCTGAGAAGGAATTACCACTTTTAGCTCTACTGATTCTCCTAATCCATTTTCTAAACCTGATTATAAAAACAAAGAAATATACTAGAATATGACCATGAAAGACAGTTATCCTGAGCACAGAAATATAGAAATATAAATAGTACAAGCTCCTAAAGTAGCTTTCTATTCTCTGAGAGGTAGTGGGGAAAGAACTCTTGCTTTGGAGTCAGTCAGATCTGCCTTTAATTCCAAGATTGGCCATTTATTAGTGAAACTATCTGGGTATACTATATTCACTGAAGTTCATTTTTTTTCCACCTGGAAAATGAATATAACACTGCAGAATGTGAGAATTAAGGAATTCGTCCTTTCAACCTATATTTGTAGAGAATCCTGTTTTACGCTCTGGGGAAACAGCAAAAGGTTAACCTTGTGGAGCTTATTTAAATCCTAGAGTATGGAAAAAACAAGTAAAAATCAAAATCTGTTATGTTAGACGGGGATAAAGAACTATGGAGAAAAAGCAGGAAGGATAGAAAGGTTGTATTTGTAACCCCTTCTTGGCTGAGTTGCTTGAAACCAGCGATTGATCTTTCTCCCCTATCTCTAGCATTTATCACAGTGTCAGCTGTATCTTAAGTGCTGCACCAATGTTTCCTGAAGGAAACAAGTGATTGAATAAAGTTGAGAAGTTTATCTCATGAAATCACTGTAATACTGCTTAGCTGGACACTTTCACATATTTCCAGACAGGTACTAATTATGTCAGCAGGAATGATGCCCTTCTGTTCTCCTTGTTCTTAATGGATCTTTCTTATCACTGTTAAATTTTCTTGGAAATCAGAATTATTTTAATGTAGCTTCTAAATAATAATATAACCTCGCTTTTAAAAAATATATACTTTTTTTCAGGCTCTTGCTGAGTTATTGAATTTGACAAATGATTTAATATGACAATTTTTATAACAAGGAGTTTTGATATTCTAGTGTCTGGAAAACTGACATGCATTATACTTCACATCTTAAAATCATGCTTTAGAGCAGTATTTGGAGTCAATATACAGTGTGCTTAATATGTAGTTAAATTGTATAAAAAGAAGCCCACAAAACCCAGTAGCGGAGCCATCTTATATAAAATATAGCAGGTCTTACAGATGATTGGGATTTTTCTTCATTGTGTTTTTCAACATATTTACATATATTCTTTTGTTAATCATTCCCCATTCTTATTAAAGTATCATAAATTGAATATAAAGGAGTAGGAAAATTTTTCATATTGTTACCTTGATAGATTTAAGACGTGCAGAATTTGATAGACTAGAATAAAAAAGAATTAACCCAGAGTATTGGAAACAACTTCCCTCTTGTGGTGTTTGATGAACAAATTAGATAATATATGCAATTTTTATACAATTTAACTACATATTAAGCACACTGTATATTTACAAATCATTATTTGTATTATTGTAAAGCTTACTACCTGTGTCTCCAGGAGGGTGGGACTTTGTTTCACTGATACATTTCCATTACCCAAGACAAAATATGTGTGTTCAACGAACATTTGGTGAATATATAAATATTTTGTTTGGGTAATGAATAATTATTTCACAGAAGAAAATTGTACCATCAAATGAATTTGAGGTTCTACAATTCCCGCAGGTTAAATCTGAATTCCTGTCTTTCAAGATTAAACCAGTCTGGGGCTAGGGTTATAGCTCAGTGGTAAAGCTCTTAACTCATAAATGTGAGGCACTGAGTTCAATCCTCATAAAAATAAATAAAGGTATTGTGTCCATCTACAACTAATAAAAAAAAAAAAAAACCCGAATCTAGTTGGCAGTGTTCTTTTCTACCCCAATAACGTGAAAAATATTACCTTCCTCCAAGCTACTCAAGAACAAATTCTCCATGGCTATTGATGCCTTCCTTGAATTTCTGCCTGAAACCTTTAAAATACCCAACTCAAATCCAAAATCTTCCTTTGAACTATTTTAACATATGCTTGATTTCTCTGCTATTTCTATTTCTCTCTCTCTCTCTCTCTCTCTCTCTCTCTCTCTCTCTCTCTCT